TGGAAAGTATGGCAGGACCTGGGTATTTGGGGTTTTCCCCTCTCAAATTCTTGAAGTTTCTCCTTCCGCTTGTCTTTGTCCTCTTCAGAATCAGCCGGCATTTCTCTTCAACTCTTGAAAACGCGGCCATGGTGCGAGGTCCTTGTTCAACGTGCTTCGGATGCCTCGCTTCCACAGCTTCGGGTAGACTCTTCCCAAGCCCGTCCCTTTGGCAACCCAACAACAGTGTCCTGCGCACGGTGTTTTCAGTCCGGTCGTAGCTCTTCCATCAAGACGTGGGTGCACGCTGAGAAAAGGGCAGAAAAGCTTTGTTCCTCCTCGGAGATTGTCCGGTGTGGAGTTCGCAGCGTAACCATCAACGTCTGTCCGTTATTCTGCCCTCGATTCTTCTTGTGCTGAAGTGGGATGTTCTTAATGTCGTCTCGGAGTACTGTGCGCGCCTCAGTTTCCCCACGGGTCACTCCTGTATCTAGGGGGTGGGATCGATGCAGGGCAGGGGTGACGGCGACGGGCTAATGGGGCACAGAGATCGGCCCACATTCTGTAGCCCGGCACCCCATGGCCGGGGCCCGTCCCCTGCGAGGAGCCAGCTGGAGGGGCTGGGAACAGGGGGCCCAGGGGACCGGTTTGTCTGGAGGTGGGGGGGGGGCTGAGACTGGGCTTTGTTTGGGCCTCAGGGAGGGGCTCTGGGTGTCCCGCCCCCCCGATGGACGTTGCTGCAGGTCCCTGCTCCCGGTGTTAACGACCTCGGTCCTACGCCGGGTTCCCCACAGCTCATAACCTGGCTGTGAGACGACTGCCTGCTGCGGGGAGTGGGGGGCAGGGCCCTTTGGGGGGGTGAGCCCAGGGGGACTCGCTGCAGGGAGCTCACAGGGGGTCCAAGGGGCTGAGCGCCCCCAGGAGGCACTGAATCCGGGCAGGCTCCTTGGCCTGGGGGGGCGGGAGAGATGCTGCTTCATCCGGAGCGGTGCCCGAGGCCCCAGGGCACCCCGAAAGAGCCAGCCTAGCAGAGGTGGGTCTGGGGGCAGGGATGGGGGTGAATGGGGGGGGGAGGGGGCTTACTAACCTGCTGCCCCTGCACAGACCTTCCCCCCCTCCAAGGCCCAGAGCCGGGGAGTCTCCACACACCCTTAGCGGCTCCGGGGGGTCCCATCCGTCAGAGCTGGGTCACCCCCCAACATGGGCCGGCACCCCCCAGACCTGCTGCTGCAAACAACGCCCCCCTCGGGGGCACTGGAGGGGGGTCTGATACAGGGGGCGAGCCCTGTGCGGCTGGGTCAGACAGGTAATAGGGGGTTACCCCGTCCCCTGGGAGGGGTCAGACCCCCCCATATGGCGAGGGCTCTCCCCCTGGGTGTGTGGGGGGGCGCACCAGGTCCCGGCTCCCCCACGGGGCACGGCATCTGCAGGCAGTCGCATGTCCCCACTCCAGGCGGCTGGCGGGTCTCTGGGGCACGAGGCCAGGGGATCCCCAAGCTCTCCATGGGGCCCCCCCCGATCTCTGACACACCCCCCCCCGGGAAGTAGGACCCGCCCATGAAAAGAGGCCCCTCAGTAACACCACCCGTCGCTTCCCGCCCCACACAGACTGCACAGCCTGGCACTGGGTGTGTGTGTGTTTATTGAACCATCCAGGGGACACAGTGGGGGAGGGGGGGCTGGTTGGGAGGATTCCCGGGGGTGGGCAGGTGGGTCGGGGGGCCCCCTAGGGGCCAGGTTCAGGGGGCCCCTTCTCGTCGTCCGGGGGGCAGTCGATGAAGTCAGCCAGCATGGTCTCTGTCTCGTCCGCCTCCGCCTGGGGGGGAGAGATGGGGGGGGGGGGTCAGCCGGCAGCCCTTGCCCTAGGCCCCATCTCCGCCCCCCAGCCCCCAACCCACACCTCACCCCCGCCCCTCCCCAGGGCCCCACCCCTCACTCCTCCGGTCTCACCTCTGCCTTCCCGGCCGGCTGCTCCCGCTCGGGGCTGGGCTGGGCCCCCTCTCCGGCGCCATCCCTCTGCTCCCCCGCCGGGGGCACCCCCTCGTCCTTGGGGGGCTGCTCCTCCTCCAGGATGGGGGGCGGGGCTTCCAGCAGTGGGGGCTCTGCCCCCATCTCCTCCTGGCCAGGAGGCGGGGCCTGGAGGGGGCTGGCCTGCTGGGGTGGGGTGGGCGGGGCCGGCGGCAGCTCCTCCAGCTCCTCCTCCTCCTCTCCCGATGGCTGGGGGGCGGGCAAGGGGCTAGCCTTCATCACCACCACCTCCTCCTCCTCCACCTCCTCGGGGGGCGGCGGCTCGGGTGCCTGGCTCTCCTCTACCTCCATGATGAGATCGTCCGGCTCCCTGGGCGCGGCCGGCAGCTCCTGGGGGCCGGGGGGCGACCCGCTCTTCCTCCGACAAGGCCCCCTCCTCCTCCTCCTCCTCTTCCTCAGACAGGCCTTCCTCCTCCTCGTACTCCTCCTCCTCTTCCTCCTCCCCCAGCTCTTCCTCCTCCTCGAATTCCTCCTCCTCCTCCTCCTCCTCCTCGAAGTCCTCGTCTTCCTCGTCGAAGTACTCCTCCTCCTCCTCTTCCTCCTCCTCCTCCTCGTCTTCCTCCTCCTCCGGGAACTCCTCCTCCTCCTCCTCGCTGCTGTTAATGTTGATCACAGCCGGGTTCTCCTCGCCCAGGCCGGGCAGCGCCTCGCCGGCAGCGGGCAGGAGCGGGGCGGCGGGCGGCTCCTCGGGGGGCTGAGCAGGGGGTGGGGAGGGGGGCGCAGGGGGAGGCGGAGGCGGCGGGGGGGGCTTGGGCAGCAGCCCCTTGGGGACGATGACCACGCTGTCATCGGAGTCGCTCTCCAGGGAGATCTCCACGTCCGACTCCTCCTCCTTCTCGTAGTGCACGTAGACGGGGCGACGGGACTTGCCCCCCAGCCCCGCCCCCCCCTCCTCCGCACCCCCAGGCGAGGGCGGGGCCAGCAGCCGGGGGTCGCCCGCCTCTCCGGGCTCCTCCGCCAGCGCCAGGCCGGGGCCGGTGGAAGGGGGCAGCCGGGGCGGTGCCAGCCCCAGGTGGTTGGCGGACGGGGGGCGGGCGGGCGGCGGGGCGGGGAAGGGCGGGGCCTGGCGGAAGGGGGAGGCGGCCAGGTCCGAGGGGGCGGGGCCAGCCGAGGGGGTGGGGGCGGGGAGGGGCAGCTGCAGGGAGGGCACCCGGGGGCGTGCCAGGGCGCTGCAGGTCACCAGGGCTTCGGCGCAGAAGGACGAGACCTGCAGGGGGCGAGAGAGACAGGGGAGCGCTGGAGCCGGGTTGGGGGGGGGGGGGAAGAGATCGGCAGCGGGGTGTCCCCGTGGGCTCTCACCTGCAGGCTGGGGTCCCGCTGGCCCAGGGCAAATGCCCGCAGGGCGCAGTGCAGGGGCGGGGGGCAGGTGGGCGCGGGTGCCAGGAGCAGGGCCAACAGCAGGCGGTAGAGCTGGTGGCGACAGGCCGGGCTGGCGTAGGAGCCCCCGGGGGGGACGTCCCCCTGGGCCAGGCGGAGCAGCAGCGGCACCACCAGCTCCTGCAGCCTCTGGGGGGGA